ATTCTTGCAGCCTGTTTTTTGCCAATGCCGTCAGTGCAGATTGGAATTTCTTCCTTCAGTACCCTAGGTTTTTGATCATATGTTGTTGTTGTTGTTGTTAAGTGCCGTCGAGTCGGTTCCAACCCATAGCGACCCTGTACAGGGTTTCCGAGGCTATAAAGCTTTACGAGAGCAGAAGCCCTCATCTTTCTCCCGCGGAAGAGCTGGTAGTTTCAAACTGCTGACCCTGAGGTTCGCAGCCTGATTTGTAACCACCATGCTCCCACAGCTCCTTCCTGCCTTTAGTAGTTAGTGTGTACATTCAAATAGTAGTGGTATTAACTGAGCTCCCTTGTTGTGCCTTCAAGTCAGTTCATAGCGACTCTTTATAGGGTTTCCAAGGAGCAGCTGGTGGGTTTGAACTGCCAGCATTTTTCGTAGTCCAGTGCTGATCCTACAGTGCCACACAGGAGTCTGGTTTTCCTTGCAGGCATAAAGAATATTATCCTATTATAGGCAGCATTGTACTTCAAGATAGATCTTGACGCGTTCTTTTGACAGTGAATGCGATGCCATTCCTCTTCCGTTTCTCGTTCCTGGTGTAGTAAACCAGATGATTGATTCAGAATGACCAATACCAGTGCATTTCAGCTAACTAATGTGTAGGATATCAATCTTAATGTATTCCATGTCATTTTTGACAACTTACAACTTTCCTAGATTCATACTTTGTAACATTCCATGTTCTGATTATTAATAGATGTTGGCAAATATTTCTCCTAATTTTGAGTTGTACCCCATCCGCAAACAAAGGTCCTGAAACCGTTACTCCCTTCTCATCACTGAGGTCAGCTCTACTTTGAAGAGGCAGCTCTTCCCCAGTCGTAGTTTGAGTGCCTTCCAACTGGAGGGGCTCATCTTCCAGCACTCTACCTGACACTGTTCGCTGCTGTTCATAAGGTTTTCAGTGGCTCACCATTCAGAAGTAGTCCACCTCTCCTTCCTAGTCTGGAAGCTCTACTGGAACTGTCCACCCTGGGGTGACCCTGCTAGTATTTTAAAATATTAATGGAATAGCTTCCACCACCAAAGCAATATGCAAGCTGACAGATGAGCGGTGGGATTTGGGGGACAGGAGAAGGAAACCAATAAGAAAGATGTTATAGAGCTAAGTTTTTCCATTCTGTCTTTGACACTTGGCACATAGGAAGTACTTTTCTAATGTTGGGTCAGAAGACAACTAAAAGGCAGTCTGGTTTGGTATAAAGAATACTGCATTTGAGACTCAGAAGACAAAGGGTTGAAATTCTAGTTCCGTTACTTCCAAAATACGAGCTTTGGTGGTCACTGTGATTGTAGCCACTGTCTATCCCACTAGAGACAGCAGCACTGCAGACCCAGGGCCCTTCCTGATTCAGTGTTCAGTGATCATGTGATGCCAACATTTACAGAAGGAAAGGAGTGGAATGGTTCCATTTTCCAAGAGAAAGACGTTTGTTGCATTGAAGATGTAAAAAGGATAATGAAGTCATACGTCTCATGAGATGCTCTGGAAATTTTCTAATGGCTTAACGCAAGTCTGCTAGCTTACAGTTTTGTGGGTTGGAAGTTTGACAAGGGTTTCATTGAGTTAAAATCAAAGAGTCAGCAGGGCATTGCCCATTTTTGGGGGTCTAGGGGTAACGTTTCGTTTTTTAACTGCAAGAAGCTGCCCATGTTTGGCTTGTGGCCTTTTCTTCCATCTTCAAAGCAGCACCATTGCTTCTGACATGGGATGAAGTTCTGTGCTTTTTCTGGACCCATGTGATTAGATTTTCCCAGTCATATCTGAAAAGTCCCTTCTGCTGTGCAACATCACAAGTTCTGGGCTTAGGATGACCATCATTGCAGGGGCATTTCTGCCGTCCTCACCTATAGAATGAGCTCCAGTGGAGTACTAAAGAGCCCATGAACTCTGGATCATTGCCCAGCCAATCATGGCCTCTCTCTGGGTTTCTGTTTCTCTCATGTCAAGAGCTGAATTTGGTTAGTGCTTCTTAGTCAGTGGGGTGCCTCGTAATCACTAGAAGTCTTGTTACCACAGAGATTGGGGGGGAGGGGAGACTGAGAATTTGCCTTTCACGCAGATGGTCTAGTGGCCCACCCTTGTGAGTACTACCGGACTAGGCCTTCTCTAAGGAAGGCCCTTTAGATGCAGTTCCAACTCACAGCAACCCTGTGTAGGGTTTCCAAGGAACGGCTGGTGGGTTTGAACTGCCGAATTTGCGGTTAGTAGCCTTGTGCTAATCATACAGCACCTCACCAGGACTCTAGTTTGGGTGTGTTGTAAATTGTGCATCACATTATTGGTATAGCTTACTCTCTGGTGAGGGGAGTTTGCCACCTTCATGGAGAGGGCCATGTGGGCTGTGGGCTGGTCCCAAGCAGGTTCAAGTAGAAAGCGACCAACATGGTTTAGATCCACATTCCAGCATCTCTCCATCTTTATTCATCTCTTTCCTTGGGGTAGTGGTAGGGCCAGCTACAAGGGTTGTTTTCCATTAGATTCCCTGTGTGTGTCTAGCACATGGTCATTGTGGGGTTACGTGTCCCGAGCATCTGTGGTCCAAGCACTGCTGAAAGCATCAACACATTTAACCCTCATCACATTTCTAGGAGGAAGGAGTTTTTATTCGTCCCATGTTTGCAGGTTGAGGAAATAAATGCACAGCCAGAAGGTGCTAGACTCACTTTCCAGGCAGGGCTTTAGGCTCTGGAGTAAGGCTCTTTACTGTTCCGCAGCATAGCCGCATATCCCAGGTCCCTGCCTGTCCTCCAAAGAAGATTCTCAGAAGTCTGCAGGAGGGTGGTCCTGAGCTTCCTAGTGCTCAGGAATGTCCTGAGATCCATTGTCTTCAGGCTGTCACTTGTGGAACTAAGGTTGTTGTTGTTGTTGTTAAGTGCCATCGAGTCGGGTCCGACCCATAGCGACCCTGTACAGGGTTTCCGAGGGTGGAACTAAGGTAGTTGCTACCTTATCCTGGTCTTCACACAGCTGAGCAAGAAGCCGAGGGATTATACCTTCTCCATGTCTCTTCATAAGAGGGCAGAACTTTCTCAGAAACCTCTTCCCCTGCAGACTTTTCACGTGACACACTCGCTCAGTAAAGCCCACCACAGACTCAGACTAATTGAGACCCAGGTGGTCTTTTATGACTTGGCAAGGGTGCACCAGCAGATGGTAACATTTACGGATTATTAGCACCCAGAAGGATCAAACCTCTTTTTAAAAGAAATCAATAAATAATACTGAATTGTATTTTCAGTGAGTGCTTACACAGCTAATTAGGTTCTCATTGCACGTTTTCTGCACAAATTGTCCAGTGATATTAGTTACCCTTTTCAGGAAAAACGTCTTTAAAGGAGTGCTCTTACAGAGCCTGACCTGGGCCAGGTTGTCTCCGGTGCCTCCAGCATGTCGTCTGTGTGATGGGGTGGTTACAAGGAGGGAAAGAGCTAAGCCATGCCAGGCATACAGTGACACCCCACAGCTGATGGGTGCTCGGTTCCCGCTGTCACATTAGTACAGTTTTAACAACAGAGTATCAGTGTCAGGAAAGCAGGGTGGGTGCCTGGCCTCTGCGAATCACTAGAATCACGGGCGATGGGGTTTTACAAATGATGATTGTTGATGGGGACACACGCCCAAGAGCAAACTTGAGTGTCCCTCTCAATTAAAGCAAAGCACCTTAGTGAAGGAATAGAACGGTACACAGAAGTACTCTGGCAAACTGTGAACCTTCACTTAATTCACAATAAAAAGTTTAAAAAAAAAAAGTTCTCTGAGGAGAGGAGTCCTCCAACAAAAAAAATTTCTAGTTGCTTGAAATTTACAAAATCATACTTTAGCCAACCCAGACAAGTCCAAGATCCCATGACCATGGCTTTGTTCGTCATGAAGTTTGAGTCTGTTGCAGTCTTGTTACTCTATGGATATTTGAGGGGTGGAGGGGCAACCTGAGTGCATGCCCCATGGGAAGGGAGGAGGGGAACCCTCAGTCAGGCTCCTAGGGTATGCATACCGTTCACTGACTTTGTGAACAGTACTGAGCCCGGCCTGCAGCATTCTCAGAAATCTCTCCCTTTTGCCAAGCATGCCCAGATTTTATAAAGCTCCTTCCTTTTCTCAGAAATCTCTCCTTTTACCAAGCACCTAGATTTTGTAAAGCTCTTTCATACACCTGTTTCTTAGGCTGACAGGAGGAGTGCTCCCAGACACCAGAGAGGGATACTAGGTCTGGCTCACTTTGAAAACCTGACCCTAGGAGGAGCTTCACAGTTGCAGGATAATTTTTCACTTAGCCAGAAATTCATGGCAGGTTTCCTAGTGTGTTTAAAATAGGATTCAATGTATAAAAATACAGTTCTGCACACGAGAGCCCATATTTGAAGTATACTTGTATTGGGCATTTAGGGTAAGTAGATCAAAAGTAAAAATAAAACCTTACAAATATAAGAACTAGAAAGCAGATTCCACTTTTAATTCTAGAAAGTTTATATATAACTCTGCAGTCTTACCGTCTCCTCTTTGAGACCCCCTCTGCAGAAATAAACAGGCAAGATATGTAGGCAGCTCAAGGCGGGGAGGAATGAGGCAAACACGTGGGTGGGTACAGGAATATAGGGGCAAGTCTGGTTGCCCTGCCCTCTGGCATGCCCACCACATGCTGTAGAATTGCCCTATTGTGGTGTTCTATCCAAGGCTTCAAATTTGTTCATCCCTCAGCTGAGAATTTGCCATTCCATCCCAGATCTACTGAATGGAATAGACTGGTTCAGAAGCCTGGCTGACAGAGTGGTTTCTGCATCCTCTTCCTGGGTGTGGTCAGTGTGGTCAGTGAGGGAGGTTAGAAGCTCTACTCTGCCACCACAAACTATGTTACCACTGAGACACATGCTGGGGTCTGACAGGCTCTAGGAAAAGCCCAGAGAAATGGGTGAGTGTGGGAGACTGATGTGCCTGACTTCTTCCTTCCTTTCAGAAATGTTCCCACTGCCAGGAGGCAGGCGCCACTTTGGGCTGCTACAACAAAGGCTGCTCCTTCCGATTCCATTACCCGTGTGCCATTGACGCAGGTAAGGTGGGACCCTAGACCCTTGTTCAGAGAGCATCCTAAAGTTAGGATGTGCACCTTGGTTCACTCCCCTTTTCCCTTCTTTATAGTTTTTTTTTTTCTCCTGGCTTCTTTCAAGGAAATGCAGAAAGGATAATAAAAAGGAATGAAATGGGGTGATTTTTTTCCCTTTAATAACAGCTTTATTGAGATAGAATTCAATTACCATACAGTCCGCCTGTTTAATTTGTATAATTCAGTGGTTTTTAGTACGCTCACAGAATTGTGCAATCATCACCACAATAAATTTTAGAACGCTTTAATCCCCCCCCAATACAGAATCCTCACTCATTAGTAATAGAACGCTTTAATCCCCCC